GGGATATTCACATTGTTTTCATACTCTCAGATATGTGGTAAACTTTCCATTTTTATTTTTATCTGTTTTTATTATTTTTTTATTTACTTGAAACAGTGTGACACACAACTTGCTCTGTGACCACACAATACCCCAATACCAATTTTTCTTGAGCACCAAATCAGCATATTAGAATGATTTCTGAAGGATCATGTGACACTGAAGACTGGAGTAATGGCTGCTGAAAATGTAGCTTTGCATCACAGAAATAAATTACATTTAAAAATACAACAAAATAGAAAAGTGTCCTTTTAAATTGTAATAATATTGCGCAATATTGGAATTCTTACTATATTTTTAATCAAATAAATGCAGCCTTGGTGAGCATAAGAAACTAATTTCAAATACATTTAAAAAATCGTACCAACCCCAAACTTAGCCATTAAACAATGTGATGGTCAAACATGATAATGCATTTTTTTTTTGAGTAAATATAGTCTAAAATATGTTTAATTTCAGCTTTTTAAAATGTCTCATTCCAGTGGCTTTATTTCAAAGCTACCCATGTAGAACAGTCAAAATTGTCAAGCTATTGAAAAGCAATGTGATCTATTTCATCTTCATATAACACTTGACATCGGATATGGGCATGTTTTAATAAGGATTAAAAATTTGTGGCAAAGTGGGACTGAAATATGAGTGCTAATGGGGACAGGATCCCTGTTAAATGGGTGATGAGAAATCAGACTTAAGTAAATATAACCCTCATACCTATTAAGTTTATTTAATTCCGTTCCCTAATACGTACATACTGTCGCACTTTAACACTTACAACACATTCTGTCACATCCGTGGCGCTGTTAGCCCTGCACACACATATGCGCGCTGACATGCATGTCTAGTGGAGTGACAGTTGAGCGCCTCTCCCTGACAGTCTCTCTTGCTATCCAACACCTACAAACATGCCCAAGAGCACAAACTTGTCCCATTTCTGTGTGCAATGACATGCTTTAATGAAATTTATTCGGAATTGTTTGTTATTATTTAGATTTTTTTTCCTTTGAACAAAACCATGACAGTGCTCGTTGGCTGTATAGTTGTTTGTAGTCAAAAACCTGATTCACAATAATTTGTAAACAAAGCTAGATACTGAAGGTTAAATTACTTATCTTTAATGTCAGGGTAAAAACCACAACAACTTTTTTCCCATGAAAACACAATATACAGAATATTTGGAACAGTAATATTTGTTTCTTTTTTCTTTGATCTGTTTCTCAAATGTTTGCTGAATTGTGGCTTGTCCTGCAGCTTTTGATGTGGATGCTTGATGCTAGAGCTACTGCTGTCTTAAAAAGAAGAAAAATACAGACTGACGTGTTAATTTAACCTAAATCTTTTTTTTGCACACACTTGCAAAATTATGTTTCAATTATTTATGTATATGTACACACACACACATTGTATTAAACATAAGTCAAAAAATTCATTACATGATTTAATTGATTTTATGTAATAATATACTACTTCTGATAAGAATAATATCAAATAATGCTATAAAATCAATTATTGTTATTTTTGTGTTTATGCACATAGCGATATTCAATCTGAATACTTTCCGTACCCACTGTATATATATATATTTTTTTTACGTTTTTTAAGCAAGAAAGAATGAAAGAATGAAAATATGAGTACATGATGATTATTTGCTCTATTACAGACCAAACTATCTGTAGCCATTTAGAGTTAGTCAACCACAGCATTTTAATCATGATCCTATCACATGACTTGACACGTCCCTATCTTACATCTACCTTGACTAGCAATGGAAAGCATAGCAAAACAATTTTATTGCAGTTTTTATAGTCTGTATTTCATTTTTAATATTGTATATACCATGTTGATAATTTTGAACTTTGTTGAACTTAGAAATTAAATCGTCAATCACACTTTGCTCAGATGTCTTTGGATCTGAATCAGCTGTATAATTTCAGAGCTCATGGATGCTTGTGGTGCGTTTGGAGTCTGTTTATTATGTATTTTCACTCTAATTAGTTTTAATTTAGTACAAAAACAAGCCGACTTCTTTCCTTTGCTTTTGTCATTTGCTGGTGGTACACAGAGAAAAATCCCACTAACCACTGTTCATTTTCTCCAGGATCCGTTATCTGCAGTCTTGCCTGCTTGTGTCCATGTACAGTAATGGAATTTGGTTGGGAAATTTACCAGACCTCTAGACGGGCTTTCAGCACTTCTTCACATAGAAAGGCATCCAAGATTTTTTTATTTTTTTAAGTGTGGCTCTTAACTGTCCATTCTTAAATCAGTGCACACCTCCCACCCCCACCACCCCCTGTCTGGCCACTCATAAAAACACTTAAGTACATACCTCACAACACATACCTCATATATATACACTAACAGTATTCATGTAACTGCTGCTTAGCAGGACCTGTTTTGCCTTGAAGCTGGCCGTTCTGCCCATCAGACTCTGACTAATAAGTTAGCTTCAATTAGCATGTGTCCTACTCAGAGATATGCATCGCTGCAGCCTACGCTGTGAATAGTAGGCTAGCTGCTTCCGTTTCACCCGAAGGAGGTAAGAGCCAGTCTCTCGCAGCTATCTGCCCCATATGTGCAGGGAAATGTCACTGCCTTTGCGGAACGCTCACTGGATCACTTGCCCCGGCAGGAAGTAAGTGTCACCTGACCCCACTGCTGCGACTTCACACTTCCCTCAGGGAGCTAATGTCTTTTGCACAGACCTACACTCAAAGGACATTATGCAAAACTTCTCAAAGCTTATCCTTCCTTCAGTCTGTGGGTTTGGAATGAAAACATTCCTTGTAATTGGTCCTGATTTTTTTTTTATTGCATTGCATTTTATGCTCAGTACAATGTTAATAATTTTAAATCTAGTTGAACTAGAAATGAAACACACTTTGATCAGATGTCTTTGAATCGAAATCAAAGACAATGTTATTGCATTGCATTTTATTGCATGTTTTATTTTATTGCAGTTGCTGTTTGTTACGTTTATGGCTGGTTATAACAAAACATCAGATTTATTTTATATGTATTAAAAATATATATTAACTATTTAGATAATAGTTATCTATAAATATATAAATTCCCACAGTTTAAATGTCTTGTGTGTAATTTTACCAATTTTGCAAAAAAGACAAGTCATAATTTTTGCAATTCTATTTGGTGATACAGTAGTGGTGCAAAAATTTTATAATTATTTTTTTCCATTTCAGACTAGTTTACATTTACAGTAACACTTACTGTGATTGTATTAGATGACAATACCATGGTACTATATGTTTTAGAATTATGTACCCGGGTTTTTACATGATACTCATAGAAAACCATGGTAATGAAATAAAGGTAGATTCCAAAATGTTCTACTTTTTACTGTTTTGTAAGGGTAAATGCATTAATAAGTGATCTTTCATCTTGTAAATGCGAACATTGGTGCCTGCACCCAGCTTGGGCCGTTCAATTTAATGGTAAATTACGCAAGTTAAAATATTTATCTTTGCCCCACTATGTGGGAGTACAAGGAGTGTGCTGCTTGTGTCAGCGGGAGAAAAAACGTAAAAAAACTTTTAATGAGCCTGCAGCTTCCATCATTAAGCAAGCAGTCACAACAAAGTGACTTTGTTCTCTCCCACTCTCTCTTCCATCTCTCATAATCTGTCTCTCCCTCTCTCTTCCTACTCGTCTGCCTCTCTGCTCACACACACATACACACACATTTATAGAGCAAAGCCAGCGATCAAGGTCAGCTCAGATGGAGTCGGGCCAGAAGCCCCCACACAAGCATTATGGGTGATTGCCTTCTCGTGTCACCCATCAGCTGAGATCACATCACTTCCAATAAGTTACCAGCATTTCAGATATTCAGTCTCTGCCTGTTACTCTGCCTTTCCCCTTTCTGTTTTTTCATCTCCTCCTTTTTCTTTTACAACAACAAATACGTGTCTCTGATGGATGAAGGCCCTTGCTCAATACCTCTTGGTTTTCAAATGAGCTTTGCTAACATAACAACTGAGCGTTACTGGTTTGAGAAAGAAAGGACGTTTAGATGAAGGGCTTGAGTCTCCATCAGCAGTCGATGCATCAAGGGTCTGATGCTTTCTGAATGCTAAAGAGAGCTCAGTGCTGTATAGGCATTACATACATAAGCGCCCTCCCCTCCCCTATCATCTTATGCATGATTAAACAAGCATCCAATGCTTCGATATGTAGCTTTCATGAGGATTTGGTATCAATTTCCATTAGGAACTGCCTTATTAGGGATGTTTTCTGAGACATGCGCCACTATTACTATTGCAACCCCTAACAACTTTGGGTAGAAACATATTTTATGCAAGCAATCAAATGGAAACACACATACTTGGTCAAAGTTTAATTAGATTTATTTATTTGCATTTATTTAAATTAATTATTTAAATGTTTATAAATGTAATTTTAATGTAAATGTAATTTAAATTTAAATTTGTTTCATTTTTTCCCCAGAATTTAATTTTTTTGTCATTTTCACTGAAGAATATCATTTAAATTTGCATTGTTTATATTTTATTTTATTTTCATAATAGGTCATATATACATTATAATATATATAATACATTTGTGGTGATATGTGTATTATAAACCTGTTTTTAAAAAGACTACTGCAATTTTTGCAATGTTGGTGGTGCAGAAATTAGGTAATCAAATATAGTTATTTCAATATTTTTGTCTAGGTAACAGTTACAGTAAAACTTACTGTGATGGTATCAGATTGTAATCCTTGGTACTTTCATATATACCATGCTGTTGTATGTTTTTCATTTACATAACAGTGTTTTTACATGATATTCAAAGGAATACCATAATGAATCATTTCATCATGATGAATGAATTAGCTGAATAACTGTTTTGCCTTATCCTGGCAGTTGGTTTGTGTTCACTGGTAATTTCTCTGTCTTGTTTACACACTCACCTTGTCTCCATGTCTCTGTGTGTTCCCTCGACAGGTGAGGACTTTGCAGTGGTTCAGCAGGAAATAATCATGATGAAAGACTGCAAGCACTCTAACATTGTGGCCTATTTCGGTAGTTACTTAAGGTATAGTAATGACCACTTTCCTGACCACACTTTTACTGTTCTCTGCTTTCTCCTTAACTTACTCCTCCTTTCATTCTCTCTCCTCCTGCTCTGTCAGTTCCTATTCCTGTCTACGGTTGTTGAGTTGACACTGCGCTCTGTTGGTTGGGTCTCTCAGCTGCACTGCAGGAACAGCCACTGTGACTGCAGCACCTCTGTTTCTGCTAATTGTACAACCTGTGCTTCCCGGCCAGGTTTAGACCTAACTAGATATTCCAAGATTGGGCTATCAAGCAAGGGTGTAGATCTTTGATCATGGGTGCAACAGGACTTTATGATGCTTTCTTAAAGTTTGGTGGTACATGATACCGTCATTGCCCACCACGGATGTACAATTTAATAGTTTCAAGGCTAGAAAGGAAGAGGTGATACGTTAACTTTGAAGCACTTTTTTGGATGTAAAGTCCAAAAGATTGTAAATGTTTTTAATTAGGGATGCACCGAAATGAAAATTCTTGGCCGAGGCCGAAACCGAACAAAATTAAACATTGGGCCGAATACCGAACACGGTTTTTCGAGTTTTTTTCCCCATGTATTTTGCCCCCCAAAAAATTCACCATTGCATAAATTAAAAAGCCAAAATGTGCTTTTTACTGTTTTGTCTTGCTTTTCAAAGAAAAAAAATCAATTACAAAACAACAATTTAAAAATATTTAACACTGAACATTTTTAACATTCTAGCAGACACTATACCAACAAAGCACAATTTAAATTAAAATTAATAAGTTAGTAATATAATAATTTTTGGCCATCAGACCCCCTTCTTGGGGGGAATAATTTTGGTTGCTGAACATTCGGTGCATCCCTATTTTTAATGAAAAACGTTTCAAAACGTTGGTTGTTAGGACATTTTTTTAAGAATTGTTGTTTTGTTTTGTTTTTGCTTCAGTAGAATGTTAAGCTACAGTGATTAAAAAAATCATCCTCATCCTCAGTTTGTAGAACAATAAAAAAATAGTGTTTATGTTGATGCACTAACAATAGAGGTCTGTGGGGCTAGACGTTCTGGAAGATTTATAAACAGAAATGTGAAGGTTGTAATGTTTTCTGGGTAACTTACAGTAGTCTCTTGTAAACATGTTGAACCTAATGTTAAGATCTTCTGGTTATTCTGTGGCATTAAATTGTGCATTTATCCTGGTACAGTGTCTCGTATTTGTTGTTACAAACTGAGGGAAAATGATTTTCTGTGGGAATCAGCAGCATATAATAGATACTATATGTAAAACTAATGTAATATTTCATAATATTACAGTTCTTTTGATCAAATAGATGTAGCCTTGGTGAGCATAAGAAAATAAAAAATATATAATAATAATTAATAAATAAATAAATCTAACTGACCCCAAACACAAACATTTGAACATATGTACAGTATATACAGTTGTGGTCAAAATGTTACATACACTTTGCAGAATCGGCAAAATGTTAATTATTTTACCAAAATAAGAGTGATCATACAAAATGCATGTTATTTTTTTATTTAGTACTGACCTGAATAAGATATTTCACATAAAAGACATTTACATATAGTCAACAAGAGAAAATAATAGTTGAATTTATAAAAATGACCCTGGTTCAAAAGTTTACATACGCTTGATTTTTAATACTGTGTTGTTACCTGGATGCTCCACAGCTGTTTTTTTTTTGTTTTGTTATAGTTGATCATGAGTCCCTTGTTTGACCTGAACCGTTAAACTGCCCGCTGTTCTTCAGAAAAATCTTTCAGGTCCCACAAATTCTTTGGTCTTCCAGCATCTTTTGCGTATTTGAACCCTTTCCAACAATGATTATATGCTTTTTTTGAGACTCATACACAACTATTACAAAAGGTTCAAATGGTCACTGATGCTCCAGAAATGAACA